AAATATTAATTTTTTTAATAGTAAAAGATAATGATTTATCAAATGTGGAGATCAAAATAGTTATTAAAAAAGATATTTTCTTTATATATTAGTATAGATACTAAAAAAAATTCTCTCCAAAACTAGAACTTATTATGATATGTGATAAAAATGATTATGATTATAATTAATTAAAATAATTATATTAGTTGATACTTTGTTTAAAAATTGAATGTGTGAATCAATTAATGTGAAGTTGTTCTAACTTAATTAGTAATTTGGATTTGAATCTTGACTATGCAATTGCTTTAAATATTTGAAAGAATGGTATAATGATTTACCAAATGTGGAGATCAAGATGATTATTAAAAAAAATATTTTCTTCGTATATTAGTATAGATACTGAAAAAAAAATTATCTTCTGAAAATTAAAACTTATTATCATGTGCAATAAAAATGATTATTAGTATAATTAATTAAACTAATTAGATGAGTTGATACTTTATTTAAAATTGAATACACAGATTAACTAGTACAGAGTTATTCCAACTTAATTGGTGATTTTGAGTTTGAATCTTAACCATGCAATTACATTAATAAATACTAAAAAAAATGATTTTATCTCTCATAATCTTTCTATCTATCTCAAATATGATTATCTCAAGTAGAAAATACATGTAATATAGACCAAACAAAATTGTTACTTTATTTAATTTAAGTTTAATTAAATATTTTTAAAAAAATTAAAACGATTGATAATACGAGCTAACTAATTATTGTCATTAGAAAAATATGAAGAAAAATAAAATTATGCACTAACAACATAAATTAGTTTTACATTATCATTCAATTATAAACCATCATATATTTTCACTTTAATCATCTCTCTTAATTTCCCCTTAATTGTAATTCATCTAATTAATTAATATATGTCTAGAAAAAGAACATTAATCATCTAAAACTCATATCTATTTATCTTTTTCCAATCTTAATAAAAAAATAATTTAACTCATTAATTTTTAGTATTTATTATTTTTTCATAAAAATATTAATTAAAAATATTACAGAAAAAATAGTTAATTTAAGAAATAACTGGAGAAAGATTTATAAAAAGGATAAATAATGAAAAATATTTTTATATCTCGAAAAAAAGTCTTATACAGTGACAGAAGTGATTAATACTAATAATAAATTTTTGTATTTTTCTACCTCTCATATATTCTTCTTGAATTGTCTTTGTTGAAAAATCTTTTTTTTTTTTTTATCAAAAATATATTTTAAGAAGAGTATTATTAAATAAATATTAAAAGAAAATAAATTTGCTAATATTTATGAAAAACGATGCATGTTTCTTTTTTGTTGTTTATAAAAGAGAATAGAAAGTATACAGCTTTGGCTAAACTATACCTCTTTTTATCTCATTTTTAAGATTTATTTTGGTCTTGTATTTTGTAAAATGATCATTTTGGTTCTTTAACTCTTAAAGTTGGATTAATTTAGTCATTTTGAAACAATGATTATTTTTAATTTTACTACAAAATTTTGAATGATCTTTTTACTGATTCAAAATTTAAAACTTATCTCATTATATTCACTTATATTAAAAATATTAACTATAATTGAAGTTTAAACCAAAAAGTGTCATAAACATGTTGTAAATTGCATAAAAATAAGTTTTAAAAAAATAATTTTATACTATTTTCTAGTTAATAAATAATAATGAAATAAAAATATTTTGACATATATTTTAATAAAATATATATTTTAAAATCCTATAATTAATAACTTTGTTTAGGATGCTAAGTATTCTAAATTATATATTTTAATATAATAGAAGAGTAATAGTGCAATACTCATATCTTTAAGAGATAAAAGTGTGATTTATGATATATTTTAGAGTAAATTACAGGAAAACTCATGGTGTTACAATATTTATTATGTGAGAAAAGTGTAATTTATTTTAATGATATTAAGTTAAATAAATTAAATTATGTATTTTAATATAAGAGAGCGAAAACAATTGTTTGTCACGGGGATAACGTAATTTACTCATACTTTTTCTTACAAAATATTATAAAAATTCGTGAGAAAAATACTGTATTTAATAAATTTATAGCTTTATTAGTTTAAGTATGTTGAACTTTCTACTTAAACACTATACATTTGAATTAGAAATGAGAAAAAAGAACATGCAAGTCTGCTAGCGGTTGATAATGATATGCTAAACGTAGACGTGTTAATTATATTGCTATTAATTTCCACGTGCTTTTAGAAAGTCAAGTAAGTACATATTTAAATCTTTAGCTAAAAAATGAATAAGTTGAATTCTATCTTAGAATTGATTTAAGACACGCTTTCATTATCGAAGAGTTCAGGAGTCAAAAACCAACGTGACTCACATCCCTTAAAATATCAAATTACATTTAATAAAAGACAAAAAAAAATGTAATTAATCTTCTTTCATCAAGAGAGGCTAATACCTTTCTGACCATATTTTTTGTTCTAATATGTATACTACATTTATCAGTAGCAGTCAGAGAAACCTAATTCTTAAATATATGTTTCACATGAGCTGTAATGACTTTTGACCAATGACTTTCATTAAAGAAGAAAGTTTTGTTGAGTACAAAAATGTTAGTATCATGTTTTGCTAATTAGTTAAATAAATACCAAAAGAGAGTCTACTAAGTGCACCAATAAGGCAATAATTAATTTCAAATCTCGGGAAGGAACCTGTTTTATTTATTTATTTTTCTATTGAGTAATGTCAATGTGTTATTAATTTATAAGAAACCGCGTTGTTTTGATAAATAAGTTAACTATAAAGAAAGATTGAGAATCCATAGCATGACCTTCAATTCTCCATGAAATTGAAAATTGTCTATATCCACTCATGACTCTATCAATTAAGCACATGGTAATTTGAAATCCTATAAAAGACAGATAATAAATCATTAATATTAGGATACATCTTTGTATAATCGCAACAGGGAATCCTCGTGCTGTGGGCAACAATTGAATTATTCTGTTTTGGTGTTTTCATAAACTGACAAAACGAATATCAAATTAATAAGTTAACCTATCAACGTCCAACAATCTAGCTAGTGATTAACTCACTACGTAGTACTTCTGTTTAGAAAAAGGAATAAAACACAATTTTTTAATGAAAAAAGAAAAAAAAAAGTGAGTATACTATAATTTCATCGTTGGCCAATTCATATGGATCTTATTAAATCCTTCATCCAAATCAGTTGTGCAGAACTGGAGAAATATACAAGTTTCCCTAATATTTTAAAGAAAATATTTTATGTTTTTTTTTTTAATTTAAAGTATATTAAAATTTTGTTTTTAAACTTAATAAATTTTCCTTTACCAAAAGTTTTATGTTTTGAAATGGTATTAAAAATTCATATAGAATAATTAATTTTTGAATGAAATAATGTAAAATCACATTTGAAAATAAAGTTACAAAAACACGTAATTAATATACTTCTCACAAATTGTTAATATTAAATTTTAATAAGAAATATTTAAATGAAGGATTAATCTCCACTTCAGTATTTGATTTGGCCTGAACTAGATGCTTCCAAAGGAAATTACGTACCATTGAAAAAGAAAAAGAAGTAGCTTTATTATTATTATTTTTTAGAGAAGTCGTTATTTTTAATGATATTATCGTTGAAGAAGAAAAAATAGCACTTAAAAGAGTAAAAGAACAAAAGAAAGATAAAACTAATATTTGGTCTCTCTAAAAAAGTTTACTATTTTAATTCATGTGAATTTCATTTGTTTAATTTTATAATGGCATAGTTTTATTGGATACTAGTATTTTAATAACTACAAATTAAATGTTTATTATATATAATGAAAATTTAAAATAAATTATGTATATAAATAAATAATATATTTAAATGTATATATTATATTTATGTGTTAAATAAATAGATATTTTTAATATATAAATTATATTTTATATTTATGATAAATAATTTATATTATAGCACAATATTATTTTTAATTATTGATAATTTAATTATTTTAAAAATATTAAAATTTAACTTATTAATAATTATAATAAATAAAACTAAATTTAGATACAAAGTTAAAATAATCTCTAAAAAGTTTATAGTCAAAGAAAAATCTTTAAAAATGCTCTAGTGTAAGATAATTATCTATGTTTTATATAAACATCTAAAATAAATTGTTACCAATTTTATTATTTTCTCTAAATAACTTATTTAGAAAATTGCACCGAACTCTTTTAAGTTCTTTTTAAATGATACATAAATCTCTTCTAGTTTTTAAGTGAATACTAACTTTCCTTCTTTATTTATTTATATATATATGACACATATAACTTTTTATATAAGATTTGTATAGGGCTAAGAAAGAACATATTATTAATACAAGTGTCAACAATTGAATATCGGTTAAAATATAATTGTATCCTTTAATCTCTTAAATTTAAAAATAATTTTTGGTATCTTAATTTTAAAACAGTCCAATTTTAATTTTTATCGAAGACTAAAATGATCAAAAAATAAAAACAAAAAATGAATTATTTTCAAATTATAGTGATTAAAAATTTAAAATATCACATTTAAATTTAAACGAATAAAAATAAATTTGACTTAAATTTAAGATATTAAATAAATATTTAAAGCAGTCATCCTTCTAGGTGCCGAAATGGCGAAAACAACAGTTGAATGACTTGACGCAATTTTATGGTCGTGTTTGTGTTTGCAGATTTTCCTCACGTGTTACTTTTTAAAAAGATGGTTCAAGTTTCGTGTTACGTTCCGGGAAGGTACTAGGGAGCAGGTGACAGATGATGTCACTATGTCCCTATTATCATAATTTGAAAAGCAAAGTATAAACACAAATTTTGACTCGTCACGACACGAGACACGAACGGTTTGAATCTGCGGAGAAAGACCCTTATTCGGTAGTCACAAGAATCTTTTTATTTATCGGATTTTATAAACAATTATAAATATTATAGAACATGAAACACGTTTGAGATGTGAACGCGTTCAGCATATAAATAAGTGACTAGCTGCTCTGACACAGAAACCATTCTTACACTCACACGTTCCCTTTCTAACAGAACCAAAATATCCACTTTCAGTGAAACACAAACAACAAAGCATTCAATAATAGTGCAGTTGTTGTTTGTCACAAAATGGTGAGAACCCCATCTCGTGATAAAAGTGGATTGAGGAAAGGTACTTGGACTCCTGAGGAAGATAGCAAGTTAATTGCTTATGTCACCAGGTATGGCAGCTGGAATTGGCGCCAACTCCCCAGGTTTGCAGGTACTTGAACTCATGTGAAAATTATTTAAGACAATTAATTTATTATAGAGGATTTATCTTAGCAGAAAAGATTATTAATTAATATTCTCTGGTGCAATGATTTTAGGACTTGCAAGATGTGGGAAAAGTTGCAGATTGAGATGGATGAATTATCTAAGGCCTAATCTCAAAAGAGGGAACTACACTCGAGAAGAAGAAGAATGCATCATCAGAATGCACAAAAAACTTGGCAATAGGTATTGATTAATTCCTATATATCATTATTGCAACTTAATTACAAGTTAGCTTCTCCATGACCATTTTGCATAGCATAAAATGCTAGCTAGGGACTATAGACTAATACTATACATAATATCCAATGAAAACTACCTCTCTATATCAAAATAACAACAATTCTAACCGTTCTTATAAATTCCCATTTGAAATGAGTCGATAACGTAATACTGGAATGTTAATCTGATCATTCCTTCACTTGCAGATGGTCTGCTATTGCGGCTGAATTACCTGGAAGAACAGATAACGAAATAAAAAACCATTGGCACACCACACTCAAGAAGAGGTCTCAACAAAACACGCTCACAAATGAAGAAGCCAGAGCCTCCAAATCAAAGGATAAAGAATCCAAGCTAGGAAGGGACTCGGTTCCTAAGAATGGTGTTAATGTTAGTGTCACTCTTCCATGTACTTCCCAAATCTCAGACATTTCAGACTCATTATCGCCACTTTCATCCTCCAGCGAGTTTTCCTCCTTAAGTTCTGATCATTCCACTGCAGCCAGTATGAAAAATTTGATGTTTGAAGATGACTTGGGTTTTCTGGATTCATTCAATGAAAGTTTCTGGACAGAGCTAAATCTGGATGACATTTCCTATAATGCACCGAGTGAAACAGTGTCAGGAGATACTAACAATGGCTCTTTTCAAAGTACAGATTCTAGCCAGATCCATGATTTTAGTGCTTTCTCTCCGAATCAATCAACCAGCGAAAGTTTGGTCATAGACAATGATTTTGGAGGCTTTCTGGATGCATACGCAGATAACTTTTGGACACATCCATATGTTGCTGACATGTCCCACGTTCCAAGCGAACTACTTGTTCCCTCCGTCTCCGTGGCAGAATCTGATTATTTTCCACCAATATACGATGATCTGTGGGGTTAAAGTAGTTTGTACGATGAAAACTTTAGCTTATTCTAGTGAAAAAAAATACTCAATGTTCAGAGATCAATAGTTTTGAGATAGTGTATGAGTTGGTGATCCGAGTTGTTAACCCGGCTAGCATGGACCTTTATGCTTTTGGATAAATCCATAAAGGTTAAATATGCACTTGTATAAGTATAACAGTGTTGTAGTATAGGCGTTCACTTGTATCACTTGTACAAATTTTTGATATAGTGAATTTGCTTCTTCATGTTTGTGGTTTTTCTCCTGTCAAGGGTTTTTCAATCTGTCTGTTTACCCTTTTTTCTTTATCTCAAAAGCTTACTTCTAACTTCTAACAAAATTAATACCGGACTTGTTTTTCTCAATTATAATTGCAAAAATATATATGATGTATACTATTTTCCATTTTAGGATCACAACACCAAATTTTTACTATGACAGATAAAGATGTAAGTCAATTCTTTATATATAGCTAAGGTTGCTATATATAAAGATAATTCATATTTATTTTGGAGAAAGTGAATCAGCGGTTGTCACACTAGAAAGTTGATCAACTTTCTTTTGTTGGTAGACTTACTTTAGTTAAGTTGGTGTTGCAAACCATGCCTATATATATGTTATGCAGTCCACCAAACTCCCTATGTCTATCTGTGATGGTGTAGGAGCTTCTTATGGGGGGGACACTACTAATCCTAGGAAGGTTCATCTGGTGGCCTAGAAGCATATCTATACTCCTAAGGTTGCAGGTGGTATGGGGTTGTAGTCAGCCAACAATTTTAACAAAGCACTTTTGATGAAGTATGGCGCCCGAGAATTGTGTTCACAACCTAATCGGTGTTGGGTTCAAGTTGTTCAAGTTAAATACAATTGTGGTGATTTTGTTTTGTCTATTTTTGATGGGAAGCATCCAGGATCTAATTTTTGGAGAGGTTTGTGTGATAATTGGGGTTGAGTTCAGGATATGCTATCCTAGAATGTGGGGAATGGTGAGTCATTTAGTTTTTGGCTGGATAACTAGGTCCCTGGTCATATGAATCTAACTAAAGCATCTATCAGGAGGGTGTCAGATGATTTGTTGATTCATAAACCATGCGAATTTGTTGATAGCTTGGCGGATTGGGATTTTACTCTACCTCGCCAATTCCTTCCCAATAATGTGTTGAATAGGATTTGTGCAGCACCTTTCCCACTACGGGTTAGGATTTAATACTACTAATGGGCTAAGCTCTATTCCTAGATACATTTTCTACTAGGCATTTGTTTCAAAGCTAGTTTCAAAAGTTATTTTCCAATATCCAATGGATTCTATATCAAGCAAAGGAGAATTAATCCAATGCAAGCATGAAGAATAGAAACATAACACAACAATGAATGAAACAACATATATATATCATTAATAAAGTGAAAATTACAAAAGAGTTTCGTTGATTACATCTAACCCCATAAAATAATGGGTAGAACTGTTCAAAACAATGAGGGTGAAACAAAAATAGAGATGGAAGAGAGATGGAAGAACCGAAGGAAAGATCCACACACGAATGGTCCCAAGCACCGAGAATCCCTTCCACAACTCCTAGAAGTCGCCCAATGTGTGAATGAGACGGAAAAGCCTCGAAGCTTTGCTCAAATACGAACTGGTCGAGTCAGGATAGGATTACACGCCCGACGCGTTATACCTCTCGCACGACGCAATGTCTTCCAGAGAGTTTTGAATGCTCTCTGTTTTGAAACGCGCCCGACACAGATGCTCTTGCGCCCGACCCAATGCTGAAGTGCAGAGGTGATGCTTTCTGTGTTTCTCAAGCCCAGCGCGGGTAGTCTGTACCCGACGTGATATTACTTATCCTGCTCCTTTACTCTTTTAATTTCCAATCCAATGGGTCTTCAACTTCAACTCTTCACTCAATACCTACACAAAAAAAGAGGTGTATCAAGGTATTGTTAGATGAGTTTTGGGATAGCTATATTTGCACAAAAATTGAATCAAAAAGAGAACAATTATATTGCAAGAGTACATGGGGTGAGTGGAATTGCTCAATAATTCCTATCTAAACATATGTATAAATGAGACATAACAGTTGGCTATTTGACCTCAGTTCATGCCGTGAGTTAGAGTAAGATGTTTCTCCCTCCCTTTGTTTATGTCATTTATTATATATGTTGTTGTAGGTGGGACTCATCAGGATATTGATGATGTTAGTGACAAGACTTAATGATATGAACCCCTTTAACATTTTTTAGGATTCTGAATAAGGACCCTAGGAATTATGTTGTTGCCTTGGAAAATTAGACCAAAGTGAGAAAGAATTAATCACACAAAAAATAGTCAAAATTGATAAAAACAAAGAAAGAGGATAAAGAAGACAAACTAAGTGTGTATTTTCTTATGGATTCAAGAAGTACAGATATGGTCAAATTTTTCACTTGTATCACTTGTACAAATTTTTTATATAATTTGCTTCTTCATGTTTGTGGCTTTTCTCCGGTCAAGGGCTTTTCAATCTGTTTGTTTACCCTTCTTTCTTTATCTCAAAAGCTTACTTCTAACAAAATTGATACCTAGCTTGTTTTTCTCAATTATAATAGCAACAATATATGATGTACACTATTTTCCATTGTAGGATCACAAAACCAAATTTTTACTATGACAGATAAAGATGAAAGTCAATTCTTTATATCTAAGGTTGCTCTATATATCTGGAATATTTGATTTGCGGTTGTAGAATACTAAACATTTTAGGGCGCCAAAGTAAACAAAGTGTTTGAGCAAGAAGAATTCAAGATTGACATTTAATTAAATGATAAAATAAGACAAGGAGATCTTATTTCTCCATATCTTTTTGTGCTTTGAATTGAACTTTTATTTCAGGTTATCCAGTTGGAGGTTGAGGCTAAGAATTGGAAGCTTATTAAGATTGCTAGGAGAGTCCCTAAATTATCTCATTTAGCTTTTGCAGATGATCTGTTACTTTTTGCAAAAGCTAATGAAATGCAAGTCGAACTCATTTTTCGCATTCTGGGTATGTTTTGTGCAAGTTTTGGCCAGAAGGTCAATTGTGATAAAACGCGTGTCTTCTTTTCACGCAATGTTGATTAGCAAAGACAACACATTATCTGTGTCGGAAGTTGGGTTTCCAAAACACTAGTGACTTGGACAAATATTTAGGGGGATTCCTATTTTTCATAATTTGGTCTCTAAAGATACATTCAGATTTATTTTTGGAGAAAGTGAATCAGCGATTGTCACACTAAAAAACTGGTCAACTTTTTTTTGTTGGTAGACTTACTTTAGTTAAGTCGGTGTTGCAAACCATGCCTATATGTGTTAAAAAATGATAATGTGACAATAGTTGTAATTAATTTTAATATGAAAAACACTTACATATAATATATTAATCTTATCTATCATTTTGATAAAATTTATAGTGAAAAAGTACTTATACATTTAATAAAATATTTTACTATTTCAGTTAAAGTTTATAAAAGTAATAATTTTATTTAGTCTTTTTCTTTTAACTATTAAACTTTTCTTAATCATTTAACAAATTAAATAAAAAAAGCGGATAGTTTGTGATGCTATTGGAATAGTCCGACTTAAACATGTTTATGACACAAATTTTATTACATTGAGTCAAAAAAATTACATTTAATTTAAAATTATAATTGAGAGTTCAAATTCTATAATTTATTATATAGGATTCAAGCTAATCCGATAAGTTCAATCCATTTTACCATTAAACGCCCGTTCTTTTCCTTCTGAATTAAAGGGGAAACATGCAAGTTTGGTTTAGCTATTGATAGGCCAACTAAATATAGAAGTGTTAATTATATGTCATCTTATAATTCATTAATACCACAGGCTTTTACTCGGTCACAAGTATGTTTAATTTTTTTGTTAGTAAACTAGTTAAGTTGAATTCTACCTTAGAATTACTTTTAGACACGCTTTTTTATCAAAGAGTTCATAGTCAAAAGCCAACGTGACTCACACATTCCATGCCTTAAAATATCAAATTGCATTTAATAAAAATAAAAAGAGTTCTGTAATTTTCATCCATGGGGAGACTCTGACCATATTTTTGTTCTACTATTTATTACTTACCATCGGAGAAAAACGTACTTAGTAAATATATATTTTCATGTGAGCTGTCATAACGAGTTTTGACCAAGGACTTCTATAAATAAAAGAAAAAAGTTTTGTTAATTAGACAAATGTTAACCTATTCGGTCAATTAGATGATAATAATAAAAAAGGAATCTGCTCTAGAAATACGTACACTAATTTCGACTGTTAAATCACGTACGGGAATAAGGAAACCATTTTTTTTTATTTTTTTTATTCTGACTAATATTTTACTAATTAATTTTTATACCAGAAACCGCGTTGTTTTGATACATAAGTTAATTACGAAAAAAGACTGAGAATCCATAACCTGATGACCTTCAATTTATGTGAAATTATTGAAAAATGTCTACTCCCGTGACTGTGTCAATTAGCACATGATAACTTGAAATCACAAAAACGACAAATAATAAACCATTAGGTTATGGATATCTATATTATTATCGCAGCAAAGGAATCCCCTCACGTTGTTGTAGAAAAAAATGCTTTGGTGTTTCCATAAACTGACAAAACGACTACCAAAATTATTAAGGTAACAGAAAACCGTCCAATAGCAATTGAATGCAGTGATATAAAAATATATATATATATAATAGCAATTGAATGCAGTGATATAAAAATATATATATATATAATGAGAAGGGTTCAAACGATACTAGTATAATTTTAACTAAGTGTTACACCGCTTAATAACTTTATATTAATTGTAAATTTTGTAAATCTAACCGTTAGATTGAAAATTCTTTATTATATACAAAATTTTATATTAATCCAAGATATTTTGATACTTCATTTTTTTAAAACAAAATTAACGTAATATATTCATTTCAAAATATACTAAAATATGAACATTTTGATTACCTTTAAATTATTGTTCAATTTTAATAAAATTTGATATATACATATAAAATAATATAAACTTTCAATCTAACGGTTGGATTTACAAAATTCATAATTAATATAAAGTTATTAAGTGGTGTAACACTTAATTAAAGTTACACCGGTGTTGTTTAAACACTCCTCATATATATATATATATATATATATATATATATATGTAAAATTTTATTGATTTTTTTTATATATATATAAAATTTATTTATCTATCAACATAATCTATATAATGTCTCAAAAATTATATAATGCCTCAAAAGTAAAACCAATAACTAATCTAACTATAGTCATTAGCTCACTGGTTCAAACATACATCGTGAATATGCTAATAAGTAAAAACAATAAAAAAAAGAGTTTGAAGTTTAAAAAGGAGCATTTTCTCATGATACAAATAGCATTTTAGTGATAAGTATAATTTAATACGTGATTTCGAATTCAAATCTTAAATAGATAATTGTGTTAAATATTTTTAAAAAAATATTATTTGTAGTGATTTTATCGGTTTAGACTTAGTAATATATTATCTCCAACAGATAATACTTGTGATCTAAAAAAAATGTTAAATTTACCCAATTCTTTGCATGATTTAAAAAGATCAAAGAATACTCATAAAAAAAGAAATAGTAAGATCAAAGAATCACGTTACTTAATTAAAAAATAGGCGCATGCAATTTTATAAGATTAATCTTAGAGCAGATTGCATATTTTCTAGCGTAAAGTTTTCTCTCCCCTGTCACTGTTTATGGAATTTTCTTACTGTTTATGGATATGTTTGATATATATCTTAATAAAATTAGTTTTGAAAGAATTATAATAGAATTGATTTATCAAAAAAAATTGAAATATTTAATTTATGTTTTGAAATGGTATTAATATATATATATATATATAATAATTATTTTTAATGAAATGATGTAAAATTACTTTTAAAAAATGAAATTACCAAAAAATCAATATACTTCTTACCGAATATATCACTTATTATTTTTTTTTAACAAAAATACGTAAATGAAGGATTTATCCCCAATCGAGTATTGATTTAACCTGAATAAGATGCTTCCAGAGAAATTACCATTGAAGAAGAAAAAGCAGCTTTAATTCTTTTGATAAAGCCACGATAACATTCTTCCAAAAGAAAGATCAAGAAAGATCTGTAGCTTTATTAATTCTTAAAGTGAAGTCATTATTCTTAACGACATATATATATATACACACTAGCGTTGAATAAGAAAAGAAAAAGTTATCAAAAGATTAAAATAAGGAAAGAAAACTAGAATTAGAATTTGATCTCCCTTAACTAGAAAAGTTTACTCTATTTTCATATAAATTTCGTTATAATAACATACTTAAAATCAACTTTTGTTTCTTAGAGTTTTTTATCATGCAATTTTAGTCATTAATTTTTTTTATTGCAAATTTAATTTTCATGATTTTCAAAATTAAGTAATATTGATCTACCTATTAACACCTCATCTAAAATTAAATAGAAAATGCTGACATATTTATCATAATACTATCTAATAGATAGTTAGTCACATAAAAAATAATAATATTAAAAAATATCAACAGATTATAAATTTCAATTAAAATAAAGAAAAGAAATAACATATCTATGATAAAATGTAATTTTGTTGTTTATATGAAAGCCAATACGTTTAGGTAATTGTTAGATCATTTATAGACATATCAGCATTATTTGTTTATTTTTTTTAACACATGTTAATGAATGGATTAATATTAATTTTAAAAATTAGAAAACTAAATTTGTAATAAATTTTTTTTAAGAAACTAAACTTGCATATATGTGAAACTATAGGTATATTTAAGGAATAATAAAATTAATTTTATAGGATTAACTTTTTATAATTTATTTCATACAAGCTATTTTGTGTTCTAAAATATATGATTACAGATATGGACAACAATCGCTTTCATTTTCATGAATTTATGGACAAAAATCCTATATTGAGAGAGAAAATTTTTCTTGAATGCCATCAATTTTCATAGAAGGGATTAAAAATTTCCATGCCCAACCGAAATACTCATTTTCAATCATAACCAAAAAAAAAAAAGAATTAACTTGGAAACTATTCTTGGGTGATTATTACATTAAATTTCTTTAAAAATAATTTTTTATAGGTATCGAACAACATGTATATTCCATAATCAAATACCGCCTATTAGGTAGCATCACAATCAAAAATATTACTTACCCATAAAATTGCCCGACCCTAGCATGAGTTGACGCTAATTTATATATATATATATATATATGCAGTAGTGAACTTGTGTTTATGTTTTTAGATTTTGCTCACGTGTTGATTTGCAAAAGGAGGACACGAGTTTCGTGTTACGTTCGTGGAAGATACTAAGTAGCGGATGGCAGGTAATGTCACTGTCTCTCCCCATAAATTATACTAATGTGAAAGCAAAGAAACACCTATTTTGACCAGTAAGAGTACCTGACATGAACGGATAGTATCTGCTGAGAAAGACCCTTATAAAGAAACCACATGAATATTTTATTTATCGGATAGTGTAAGTATTATTGAACATGGAACACGTTTCGGTTGTGAACGCGTCCACCATATAAATTAGTGACTGCTCTGGTCTGACACAAAAACCATTCTTACCCTCACATGCTCCCTTACCAACAGAACCAAAACTGGCAAAACATCTGAACTAGCAGAAAAAACACACACTCATCATATCGCACTTGTTTCTGGCAAAGATGGTGAGAACCCCATCTTGTGATAAAAGTGGATTGAGGAAAGGTACTTGGACTCCTGAGGAAGATATGAAGTTAATTGCCTATGTCACTAGATATGGCTGCTGGAATTGGCGCCAACTCCCCAAGTTTGCAGGTATATATATATTTGAAAACTTGTGAAAATTAATTACGCTAGGATTTATATTTTATAGTTTATAGTCATAGGAAGAAAAAAAGTTTATTAATTCTCTATCTGGTGCATTTTAGGTCTTGCAAGGTGTGGGAAAAGTTGTAGACTGAGATGGATGAATTATTTAAGGCCTAACCTCAAAAGAGGGAACTTCACTAAAGAAGAAGAAGAGTGCATCATCAGAATGCACAAAGATCTTGGTAACAGGTATGATCACTTCTTATATTATATACCAGTTCCAAGCTACAACCTAGCTTCTCCACAACCACAAAGTTTGCTAGCAAAAACTAACTAGCCTCTTCTTTTTTAATCATGACAATGATAGTCTACTATTGAAAACAATGAGTAATTTCTATAAAAGCTGTAAAAACTAGTTAGCTAGAGACTATAGTAATGGACTAATACTGTAACAATTCAGTGAAAAGTACCCTCTAAATCAAAATACCAACAATTCAAACCAGTCTTATATAAATATCCATTTGAAATGAGTCAACAACTTAATACTGGAAAAAAGCTGATATGATTCTTCACTTGCAGATGGTCTGCCATTGCGGCTGAGTTACCTGGAAGAACAGATAACGAAATAAAAAACCATTGGCACACCACACTAAAGAAGAGTTCTCAACAAAGCACACTCACAAATGAAGAAGCCAGAGCCTCCAAATCGAAGGATAAAAGATCCAAGTCAGTAAGGGACTCGGTTCCTATTCCTAACAATGGTGTTACTGTTAGTGTTACTCTTCCACCTACTTCCCAGATTTCAGATAACTCATCAGGCTCATTATCCACACTTTCATCCTCTAGCGACTTTTCCTCCATAAGTTCTGATCATTCCACTGCTGCCAGTATGGAAAATTTGGCGTTTGAAAATGACTTGAGTTTTCTGGATTCATTCAGTGAAAGTTTCTGGACGGAGCTAAATCTTGATAACATTTCCTACAATGCACCGTGTGAAGTAGTATCAGGACATTCAGGAGATATCAATAATGGCTCTTTTCAAAGTACAGATTCTAGCCAAATCCATGATTCTTTTGCATTGTCTCCGCATCAATATTCAAGCAGGCAAAGTGTGATTGTGGATAATGACTTTGGAGGCTTTCTGGATGCATACGCAGATAACTTTTGGACACAGCCATATATCGCTGACATGTCCCACGTTCCAAGCGAACTACTTGCTCCCTCCGTGATAGGATCTGAATATTTTGCTCCAATAAATGAGTATCAGTGGGGTCAAAGTGATTTGTACAATGAAAATACGAGCATAAATGTACCAAGAGAGAAAGTGATATAGTATGTGGTAAATTAATAAAACAAAGAAAGAAAAAAAAAAAAGTAAAAGTGAAATGAAAGAAGTGTGTTGGCAATAATATAAGTTATTTCTATAATGATATGAATAATCAATGATAATGATACTTTTTCCTCTCTTTTTATAAGATTTAAATAAAAAATATAGTATGATTTTTTTTTATGAAAGATATCTTTAGTTAAAGTCATTTTTCTTAGTTTATAGAGTTGGTAAAGTAAATACCTCAACAATATATCAAGCATATTATTGAAGAAAAATTTCTTCTAATCATTTTTGTAAGACTCAAATTAAAAATAGTTTTGAAAGACTTAAATTAAAAATAGTTTTGATGTCATAATAATTTAAAAAGTTAAATATATAACTTAATATTAAATTCTTAATATCTAAAAATATTAATTAGTGAAGTTTGCAGATTAGTCCGCGAGTCGCGGATTAAATCTGCCAAGTCTACGAACTTCATGGACCGGACTCAAAAACTAAAACATAATCATACGAATTTTAAAAAACAGGTTTGTTATTCGCAAAGTATGTGGACTTACAAATCGGTCCACAGATTCAAGTCCATCTACCCATCCCTAATCTTGGGGGGCTTGCATAAGAATATGAAAATATATTCTTTAATAAGTACAATACATTATACGTCTTAAAAATTTAAATTATTTTGTGATCCCAAATTATGACATCAACTGCAACATGATGACCAAGATAAAAACTAGTAGCAACAAGAGTTCAAATTATAATGAATATTTGATTGTATCAAAAACACGTTATTTGTACTTTAACATTTTAAAATTATGAATGGTTTAACACTTTGTGGTAAATTTATTACTATGATGGTTTTTGAGTTATGAATGATTTGACACTTTAATAAATTTATATTGCATACTAATTATTATGATAAATTTTAGTATCACCCTTTAATATTATGCTTATTTTATAATGTTTATTTTGAACTTTATTTTATATAATATTATTAATCAAATTGTAATATTGTATAATAGTTTGGTTAGTAAATTTATCAAAAATGAAAATAAAAATAACAGTAAAATTATCGTCGGATTAATCAATAACACATAAAGAAATTCAGGTAAAATTGACCAACTTTCCATAAATAATCTAATTAATACTTCCCGACGAATTTATTATATTTACTAATAAAATTATCATGGGTGAATATACCCATAAAACACATAGCATATGCTACCGATAGATTATCTTTCAATAAAAATATATTTGCTAATAAAATTAGCATGGGTGAATATACCCATAAAAAACTCAGCATGTTACCGATAGATTATCTTTCAATAAATTAAATTTATATTGTAAATTAAATTTATTTTTAATTATTAATAATTTAATTGTAACAATATTAAAATTTAATATAAAATAATAAATAATAAATTAAATGAGATAAGAAGTTTAAAAAAAATTCAAAATCACTTTCATTAAAGAATAATCCTTTAAAAAAGTTTACATTAAAGAATAATACATTCTTCTAAGATAATTTTTATAATTTATATAAAAAAAATATAAATTTATTGACTTTTATAATAATTATTATAAAAAGTTATAATAGTAATTAGTTGGTATAATGTAAAAGAAATTACACCAAAAGTGTATCACCATTAGAACTCTGAATTTATATAAAGGGTGGATTGTCGTGAAATATATTATAATAACTAGATTAAAAAAATAAGTAAACGGGTATATGTAAAAAATAAATTATTTATTAATTTCTATCGTTATATAATTAGTGACTAAAATAATATATATCAGTTATTATAAATTTTTCTTTTGATAAGTACTTATTATTTAAATTTAATAATATATTTATTAAATTATTACTTTTTAATTAATATTTTCCACTGAATATATTTTAAGGTACCTACTTTTAAAAAAAAACAAGCATAAAGAATAATATAATATTTAATGATATTACTCACTATCAAAATGTATATTTAATTATCAAAATTATAAAATAAATAGCATTTTACTTCTTAAAATAAAATTTAATATTTAATTATTAAAATTGTATAATAAATAATGTTCTTACCGGAGATCTTGTAGGGACGATCTGCTGGGCAAGATTGGTGAGCCTTCTTCGCTGAGTATGATTGTTGTTCCAAGTGGGGGTAGTACCTGCAAAAGAGACTCCAATGCTAAAGTTAATGTTTGTGAGTGTATGGGTATCCTATAAGTAATGCACGTACCTTTGTGTGAATTAGGGTTTCATTAAGCCTTGGGCCTGAGATCAGTTATGACCTATTTGGATATCGGGCTGATGTCACCTAGCGCGTGTCCGAGGCCGTCGTGCGCAGTAAAGTTGTGCTAGAGCTCGGCTTAGCGGTACGGATAGTACACTAGCCCCCCGAGCTCCAAAGACCATGGGTCGAGGAGTTAATGCCGAGCTCGCCAAGGGGCCGTGACTCTTCGCGTACGCCTCTCTATCATGATGCCATGTGTCATAACCGTCACCTCGTTCCCATAACGCGTGGGCGGCGTGTTAATGAGAGGTGACAGTTTTGTAATGATGGCACACTTTGCCATGATGGGTCTCATTAAATGGGTCGTCAGTTGTGTCTCCTCCCTGACACGCGTCACGACCGTTTTGAATTTTGGAGACCCCTTTTCTCTCTCTCGCGCCCTTTCCTTTATCACTTTACTCTTTTCGTTCTCTTTCTTCTTTGGCTTCTTGTGCACGCCGATTTCTGCATTTCTCCTTCCACCATCTCTGTTTGCCTTTGTCGTCTCCATTTCTGGCAACTCCGTCGTTGTTAAGGTCAATACCAAAGGAGTACCAGGTACTTCATTTTCTCTGTCTTCGCTTTCTGCTCTTCCTCCCTACCAGTCTTCTTTGTCTTTCTCCTTTTCTCCAATCTTTCCTGTTCTCGATGGCTGGGGACAGTGGTGCCGCTCCTTCCGCGTCAGCCAAGGGTAAAGACAAGGCGCGCGGCAAGGCGATGGCCGTCGAGACGGCCGCCGCCGAAAAGAAAAAGGGTGGGAACCACCCTAGGGAGCCTTTCCCCATCATCACTGGCTACGAATGGGTTAGGGGTGACGTCGGAGAGTTCCACAGCGTCTTCAAGTCGTTTATGGAGATCAATGCGATGTGAAAATCGCACAGGATTTGCCAAGCGTCAATTTCCAAGCTCATCCAGCTTGAACCTTGGCGAGCGTGTATATATGGAGGGTACCTCTAATGCCCCCTTTTTCTATATGTACCAGTGCTTTTTTAGGGATTTAGGCGTTTGCTTTCCCTTTTCCCAATTTGAATGTGACTTTTTGAATTTCGTCAACTCGACTCCTTGCCAGTTGAACCCCAATAGTTGGGGTTTTTTGAGGGCATTTTAGGTCCTGTGCTCGACCCTAGGGATAAGGTTGTCTCTTCCTATTTTTTTTCACTTTTATCAACTGAAATTGGGTGTACCTCCCTATGGTTGGTTGTCTTTGAGTGGGAGTAAGGCTGGGGGACTATTTTCTCTTTACTCCCAGTCTTACAAGAATTTCAAACAAGAGTTCTTCCAGGTTCTGCCCAAGGAGGTCGACCCGCTGAAGGATGAGGTGTTCCACTTCGGCGGGTTGCCGAGGTTCCCACTCTACTGGCAGCAGGGTCCAGTCAGGTTCAACGGGTCGTCCAACCTTCAATTGACGACCTCGTCCCCTAGATTGCAAGCTCGTCTTGTCGCTTGCTAACTCGGCGTACAAGGAGAGGGGTATAGGGAGTGAGTACCTCGTCATTTTTAGCTATCAGGGTTTATTTCGTTTTCTTCCTTTTCACTTTTGCTTATGAGCTGAATTTTTATGCTTGCAGGTATCATGGGGAGAAGCAAATGGCGCGAGCTGAAAGCCCGCTATAATGTTGTCGAGATCGAGGTCCCCGAGCTCTAGGAGGAGGAGATTGCCCCCTGGAGACCTGCAGAAAAAGAAAGAGGGGGGAGAAGGAGGTCGGGGGGACCTCCGCCCCTCATGATGCTGAAGAAGTGACGTCGAAGGCTGCTGACGCCGACACCGTTGACCTAACCGGGAGTCCTCCACCTGAGGGATCATCTCGAGCTGCCTCCACTAAGGTTCAAACTCAACCTCAGGGTCAGATAAAATAATTCGTACCGAGGTTCGAACTCGTCCTCGGCTTAGGGTAAAAATAGATCGTACCAAGGTTAGAACTCGACCTAGGTTTTAACATAAAGCATTTTATGACAAAACAATGTAAAATTAAAAAGCTATGAACAGAATGAGTCATTTTATTAATGTCGTGGATGTGCCTCGTTAAAAACCCTCTCAGCCAAAACCCATTTTTCTGTTTTTTGGGACAAAAGACTGAGTCGGGAAAAGAGTGCACAACTCATTCATACAGTTTCAGCTGAAGTAGAACTTGAGGTGTGTGGCATTCCAGGTTCGTTGGATGGGTTTGCCGCTGAACTCTTCTAGTCGGTTGCCCCGTTTTCTAAGTTTTTTGTGACTCTAAATGGGCCATCCCAGTTGGGCGCGAGCTTCCTTTTTGACGAATCTTTGCGAGCGTCGCCTACTAGTCGCCACACCAAGTTGCCGACCCAGAAGGAGCGAGGTCGGACACACGTGTTGTACCTTCTGGAGGGTTGAAGTTTACAGGCTTCTTCACGGATCCGAGCTTCTTCTTTGAGCTCATCAATCAGGTTGAGGTTGACCGTTGTCTCTTGAGCATTTTGCTCACTGTCTAAAACATGATGTCGGTGAGACGTCTCACCGACCTCCACTAGGATCATGGCATTGGCTCCATAGGTTATCCTGTAAGGCGTTTCCTGCGTTGTTTATTGGGGGGTACAATGGTACGCCCAGAGGATGCTGGGGAGCTCGTCGACCCATTTTCCTTTGGCGCTGCCTAGCAGCTTCTTGAGCTCTTGGAGTATCACCTTGTTTGCAGCTTCGGCTTGGCCATTGGTCTGTGGGTGCTCCACTGTGGTCGGGAGATGTTTGACTCCAAGTTCTCAGAGGAAGTCTTCGAAAATCTGCGCAATGAACTGCCTGCCGTTATCGGAGACCAGCGAATGTGGAATACCAAACCTGCATATGATGC